TTTTAACCACAATTAAAAAAAAAAAAAAAGCATGCCTGAATTTCCACACTCCCAAAAATAGGGGGCTTGATGAACATTGACTGAATCAATAACATGTACCCACCCAGTCACCCAAACCCAATTCTGGAAGTTACCTTCTCCTTTAGGAGCTCTGGTAGCGTGCATAAAAGCACTTGACTGCTAACCAGAAGGCTGGCTGTTCAATCCCACCAGCCACTCCTTGGAAGGAAGGTTGGACAATCTACCCAAGGAGGGGTCGCTATATGAGTCAGACCTGGCTCGAGGGCATATAACACCACCACCACCACCTTCTCCTTTACCCTCAAGTGATAACTGGTCCTCAAATCCTGTTGATTCCACTCCCTAAAGATCTCTCAAATCAATCCCCTTCCTTATCACATCACAGCCCTGATAACATCTGTCACAATGTTCAGGTCCCATTCCTTCTTACTTGAACTTGATTTGCTCCCCTCCAAACCATTTTCCACACTGCCATTCAATTTTTTAAAAAATTTTATTACAAAAATAATACATACTTATAAAAAAATTTAAACAATACAGAAATAAAAGTACACTACCCTACTTAGTATACATACAACCATATAACTGCCTCTCTTCCGATCCTATTCCCCAGAGGTTATCATTGTGAACAGTTTAGTGTATATCCTTTCAAACTTTTTCTTTTGCATATACAATCATGTATAACCACATAAATATACACACATGGTTGTCTTTTACAAAAATGGGATCACACTATACATATGATTCTTCAATTTCTTTCTTCATTTAATATACAGAAAATTTCTAAAACATTAATCTGATTATATCATTCCTTTAGTATGTCATTTCCCATAATATAAAATTCATACTCATTAGTGTCAAATATATAGCTCTTAATGATATGCTTCCTTCCCATATTTCAGTCTCATCTCTAGCCACTCCAGCATTAAAGGATTTAAACCATCTTAAATCCTTTCTGGAACAAGCAAGTACAAACAAACAAACAAACAAACTAGGAACACACTCTGCCATTTCTAGACTTTGGCCTTTTCACTTCATGTTACACTGACTGGACTTTTCCACCTGGCAAATGCTTACTAATTCTTCAACAATCAGCTTAAAAATTACCCCTAGGGAAGACTTCCCTGATTTTTTTTAGACATGATAACTCCTCTATTTCCCCCTATACTTTATATCTAGCTTCTTAATTGTACTTATCTCATAGTTCTGTAATGATTTTTAAACATATTTTGAATTCCACCCTTCCTCCCCCAAGTTGATGGTGAGCTATCTGCATCCCAAGGATCTGATAGAGTGCTTGTCATGGAGCAGATGCTCAATACATTATCTGTTGAGGATTTTATGATTCTAGGAACATTTTCAAAGTACTTACTATGCACAAAACCATATCCTAATCATGAAAAGAAACAGAAGACACAGTCTTTGCCCTCAGAAGCTTACCATTTCCCTACCATTTCCCCTGTAGGTAGAGGGATAGAACACATTTATATGGCAACATATCATTTCTGACATACAGGCTGTTTTAAAGATTTACAGTTACATGCCTCAAATCCATTTAGGAACAAGGCACTGTATAATCAAATAAGTAATATAAATAACTGGCAGTTTGATAGGTTTTTATTTTTAAGTGTGACGTGGCACAGAGTCCACAAGAATCCAATTCCATGTCCCAGCAGGGGTACTATCACCTGTTCCAGCCTGCAAATTAGAAAACTGAGATGATACCATGCTTGGAAATTTTCTAGTACATCAAGAGGACATAAAGTCATTAGTCCTTTCATAATTTCTCTTCCTTCCCCAGGGAAAAATGATACCAAGAGCAATAAATAGAGTTAAAGGAAGGAGCGCTCTCTCTCTCTCTTTTGTTTGGTAGTGGGGGAGGGGGTTGCTTTGTTTTAAATCAAAGGGTGACACTGTCCCAGGAAGATCAGGAGAGGTGGTTGATTATTATTTACTTACTATTTTCTTAAAGGCTATGGTGTTAGTTAATCTGGTGATTTCAAGATCAGACACTGTACATATATGAACAAATTAGGGAAAGGTGAACCACCTAGGCTAGAGAACAGGGAAGGCTGACCAAGGAGGCCCAAAGGAAGCCTCATTCATCAGAGTCCAAGTCACTTTCCCCAGCAATGGAGTGGAAATCCTCACTGTCCTCCTCGTCCTCTGACAGGTGGACCTGGCTTAGTACACTCGGCCCAGAGCGCTGCTCTTCCTCCTCATCTTCTTCCTCCTCTGATACCTCATACCCACCGATGCTGCTGAAGCTTGTGTCTTGGGTGTTCGACTTGGGATCAGGCTCCTCATAGCTCCCATAACTGAGAAGAGAAACATGTCATCTCTCAAGCTCGGGCACCATCCTAGCTGACCAGCCCCATTCTCAGTGTTACTAAGGGCCCATCTCACCTCCCCTGAACACTAAAATGACTGGTTCTGGACGGTTCTACAGATCCCTGAGAGAAAAATCATCCTATTCAGAAACAGCAACTTGCCACCTTCATTCATATACACAAGAACCTGAGGGAAAGAAACTCCTCTACACCTGAACGACACACTTACTGCCAGCTTACATGACCATAAATGCCCTAACAGCTTCATGGTTTCATCTACAACTTACAACCTCATTCACCTACAAACCCAGTTAGTCAACAGTCATGAAGATTCTACCTCTTCAACATATCATGTCTCTATCCCCTCCTTTCCATCCCTACTCTGACTGCTTTTGCTGACTTTGTGATCTCTGGCCTATACTACTGAAATAAAGTCTTCAAGCCTCCAGTCTTGCTCTCCTCCAATTTACTCATATTCAGTCTTCACACTTCTGCAAGAGTGCTCTTTATTTTTGTTTGTTTGTTTATTCTTAATTTTAATTAAATAAACAAATCACACAAGTAAAGCATGTCCACTGGTAAAAAATTAGAACATATACACCAGAAGAAAAGATAAAAATCAGTAACTCAACCACCCAGAGATCCTCTTTTGGTATAAGACCTTCAATTTTTTTTTCTATGCAATTATATGCTTAAACAATTTTTTTTAATTTACAAAATTGGGATATGCTATAAACTCTAGGAATCTGCTTTTTTCACTAATGATAATGAACATCTTTCTGTGTCAATAAACATACATCTATACCATTTTAATAGCTGCACGGTATTCCACTTATGTATGTAACATGATTTATTTAACAGTCTCTCACTACGACATTTAAGCTGTCTCCAATTTTTCCACCATTAGAAACAATGATGTGATAACACTGGGTTGAACAAACATCTTGATGATGGTGTTTTATTACGCTCATAGAATAATTTCCTAAACAAAGAATTTTGGGCCAAAGAGAATACACATATTTTTAAGTTTTTGATTTATAATGATAAACTGCTATACTTCCCAGAAGTATCAATTTATATTACCACCAGTAGAAAGCCCTTTTATCCTCACATCCTCTCCAACACTGGGCATTGCCATTCATTTTAATCTCTGCCAATCTGATAGGTTAAAAAAAAAAAATTGTACCTCATTGTTCTACTGTACTTCTCTGATTATTAAAGAATTTATTTTTTCATATATGCATTGGTCATTTGCATTTCTTTTGTGAATTATTAGTTTGTGTCTTTTGCCCATTTTTCTGCTGGGGCAGAACAATCTTTCTAAAATATAAATCTGATCCTACTACTCATTCAATGGCTGCCCCAAACTTTCTGGCCCTTCATGAATTGGTCCTTACCTACCTCTAAATCATCTGATCATACTCTCATATTGGTCAGTCAAAGGCTCCAGCCACATTGAGCTACTTGTGTTCTCAAAGTGTTTCATGCTTGTGTTTTCATACATATATTCTTGTTCTCTGCTTCCTCTGCTCTCTTCTTTATCTAGGTAATTCCTATTGGCATTCAGCTCATTTTCCTTCTCTAACCAGCTCCCTACGCCCAGCCCCTACCCAACTTCCAGAAAAATCTTGTGGTTGCCTATCAAACTAAATTTTAATTTAGATTATAATAGCGCTTATCATTGGGAACGCTGGTGGCATAGTGCCTAAGGGATCTGACTGCTAACCCAAAGGCTAGTGGTTCAAACCCACCAGCCACTCCTTAGAAGGAAGACTGGGCAATCTACTTTCCCAGTGATACCACCTCAGAAACCCAAGGAGGGGTCGCTATGAGTCGGATCCGACTCAGTGGCAGTGAGTTTGGTTTTTTTTCTGAAGCTCTTTATCATGTTATGTTGTGATTGCCTGTTTACCCTACTAGACTGAACTCCTTGAAGGGGTCACATTTTAGTTATTTTGTATTAGTGATAAATATTTGCTAAATGAATAAATAAATAAGCCTCTAATTGCTGGAGACCGGGCTATCTACTCCCGTAGAGATACCACCTCAGACACCCAAAGAGTCAGCATTATGAGTCAGAATCGACTCAATGGCAGTGAGTTTTTTTTTTTTTTGTAACTGCTTGCTAAATATCCAAAGCCAAATTCATTTTCTTCCTTTCTCAACCCATCCAATACTTGTTCTTCCTCTTTCCTACTGCAATGACATTCTCACACCCATTATTCATCTGACTTCCTTACCTCCTAAATTCAATTGATCTACCTTCTAAATAGCTGTGGAGTATGTCCCTTCATTTTCCCCTGCTCCTGATGGATCCTCATTGTCTGTCCCACATTGCCCTAAGAGTTATTTAATACACAAATTTTAAGTTATTTCCTTTTCCTTAAAGTGACAATTCCCATTACCAATAGGATAAAATCCAAATGTCTTAACATGTCATTTAAGGATTTCTACAACATAATACCTTGCTATTTCTGGAGTCTCAATTCCCAACAACTTCCTTTAGCTCTGCAACATAACTTCCTGTTTTTATTTTTGTGCCTTTGAACATACTGTTCCATGGATAAAGATCTCCCCACCTGCCACCACCGTATCTACTTAGTAGACTCCTATTCATCCTTTAAGACCCAGTTCAAATGCTCCCTCATCTGTGAAACTTTCCCTGATTACTTCAAGCAAAGTGAGACACTCCCTCCTCAGTGGTGCCTTGGCACTTTAAACTTACTTATGTTATAGCATTTATCACATTGTATTTATGATTTATTTGTATCAGTCTCTTCTACTAGACTGTGAGCTTCTTGAGGGTAGGATATGTCTTGCTCCTCTGTGTATCCCCAGGGCCTAGCACAGTGCCTGGCCCTAGTGGGTGCTTAGGAAATGTTTGATGGATGAAAGTAATCTGATGCTGAGCCCTTTGACATCATAGCTGGGCACTAATGCCACAGCCGTGTAGCATGTTGCTGCTGATTACCTGATGTTGCTATCCTCCAAACCATGGGAAGCCTCCCCACCGTCTCCCTCATAGGACATCATGCTTTCTTCATTTTCCATGCCCATCCTTGTGTTCTCCTGAAGCATACGGGGCTGTTTGGGTCTAATTCCACTGGATCCCACATCAGAGTCACTTCCACTTTCACTCAGCTGGATAGCTATAAAAAGAGACAGAGCCTGGCTCATCAACAGATAATCTTGACAGAATTAACATCTTTGGCTTGGTCTTCTAAAACCAGTCACTCTCAAACATCTACATAGGCATCTTGCCAGTAGGTACTCCTCCTCTCAGAGGTCTCTCTTTTAACTGCATAGAGTCAACACTGGCAAGATCTGTAGTTGGAATACTGAATCCAAATTATCATTCCCTTTTCCATCTTAATCCAACCTATCTGGGTTTCGTTTCTCCCCCTTATCATCTCTTCCTATACTTTTACCCTGCTACTGCAGAACATCCCAAATCAAGATGCCTTTTTTCCCTCTGTTGCCACACCTTCATTCTCATCTTTAGCAAGTATTTAAATCAAAGCTGTTCTTCAGGCAATGCCTTTTCCACTGCCACTTTTTTTTTAACCTCCTGTGTTTTATTTCTTCACTTCCTGAGGCTAATGAATATGATCATCCCATGAGCAAGTGCTCAGTACTCTACAGTCTATTAATGGGACTTCAATAAAAGAGTCAGCATCTGATAACAGCATATGTGGCCAAGAGCTTCCTATCTAGTCCTGAGGATGCTATGGTGAGCTATATAAGAAAAGAAACAAAGGAGCTAAACTTACCAGAAAAAGGATTATCTCCTTCTTCATCACTCCCTCCATCTTCTTCATCATCTTCTCCTTCAGACATAAGCAAATCCTCGTACAGTACACTGGCTTGAGGCTGTTGCACAGTTCCTTCCTCATCTGCAAGATCACCATCTCCATCTTCACCTTCCTGAATGAGACCAGCTGAGGGTCAAAGTCCCATCAACTGACCAAGTAAGACACCAGAAGACACCACCAGCCACCCTTGCTGCCTCACAAGAATTTTTATGGATAAACTTGTTTAGCTGGTTCCAAGTATTAAGGTCAAACTGGGGGCTCACTATGGAGACCTTCTGATATCATCTTGAGATTTGGCCTGCCCCATACTGCTGGGGCTCCTATCATGTAAGGGTATAATGTAACCATAAGCTTTCTATAAGCATACTCACTGGGGCTGGAGTCTTAGGTTTCCCATCCTCCTCCTCCTCCTCATACCCTTCAATATCTACATCAGAGTCTTCCTCGCCCAGCCTACCTCGGCCCTGGTGCATCTGAGTAAGGAACACAAATAGCACATCATTGAGCGACGTGCCTATCGGAGGAGTTAACAAGGGCTCTCACACAGGACTGATGCTCCTCCCTGAAATCCCAGCCAATTCCACTGCTAGTGGGGGCTGTTTACACAGCTCCAGGCATGTGCATTTTCCCACACACAGTATTTGAAAATAAGAGGTAGGGTCTACTTTTACTGTATCATCAAAAGGAAGCTTTTCCTTCTTAACCTTAGTTTGTGTTGGACTCTTTGGGAAAGAAAAACCCTCCTGAGTTTTGTACTATTCAGTGGAACCCTGAATGAAAATCAGGAATTTCTTCTGACACATCTTAAACAGGCCAATTATTTTTTTTTATTTAACACATAATTTTAATTTAGATTATAACATACATACAGTAAAGCAGCAGGCCAATTGTTTTGAACTCTGTCTCTGAATGCAGTTGGTCTTTCTAGTCACCTGTCAGGTTGCTCTGATGCCTCTTATACTTTTCACATTTGTGTCTTCCCTGAAGTTCTGTTGTGCCTGACTCTGCCCATGGGGACAGATAGAAGACAATGCCAGTCACGTGACCTGCCACCATCCCACCCTGAAATCACATTTCTAAGCCTTCATTTCCAGGGCCAAGGGGCCCAGCCCAGTTATGCCTGACATATGTCATTCACCACCACCACCACTGCCTCCACCCTCCATCCTCTAAGCATACTACCAATCTTACTAGGAGAAAAAGAACATCCTACCTGTGTTACCTGCTTCTCTGGTGCAGTAGTAGGAATATCTAGGACAGACATATTGCTTTCATCTTGAAATACAGAGGCATCTCGAGACATACTGAGGGATGTGTTGGTATCATACAAATCAGGAGGCTGTGGCACAAAACACACAACTTAGCTTTTGTTTAGTACAGAGAGTCAGAAATGCAGAGAACTCCCTTTAGAGCACTCATTCCAGAAAAAGGTCATGCAGAGTAATTCAGTTAAAGGGAAAACAGAGTTTGGTATAGCTTTATGGATAAGTTTTTGGGAATTTAAAAAATTCTGACCAATACCCAACTTGTCTTAATATATTTAGGCCCAGGGTTTTATAACCAGTGTTATATTTTGATTTAGAGATATGAGAGGAAATGATACAAAACCCTTTCAACTCTGACAAGAGCATGGAACGGTTTGATAGCTATGAGCCTGTTAGAGATTACTATGAGGCAAAATGGTGTGGTGAAAAACCATGGGCTTTGGAGTAAACTGCCCTGGGTTTGAGTCCCAGCTCCATCACCTAGTACGTAACTTTAACAAATTACTTCATCTTTCTAATCCTTGGTTTCCTTAATGATAGACAATGGATGATAACACCTACCTCACAGGGTTGTGAGAAGGAAGAGGTATATATAAGCTCCTTACCCAATGCCTGTTACTCAATATATAACTTCCCTCTTCCTTCCCCTGAAAAGAACAGGGAATTAGCAAATGGACCATTCAGTGATAGGAGGGCAGGAAGGACTAATGAAGAAGAGAATAGGAAAGTTAGCTAAAATGCCTGACTCAGGGTAGAAATACTATGTAGCCATGTTTTAAAATATAGTGTTTTCAAAGACTAAGTAGTGAAATGATACAATGCTCACAATGTAAAATGAAAGGAAAAAGACAGATAACCATCTTGACCAGTTTCATTTTAAAATTATGTCTATGAATATATATTCACATATACACCCTAAGTTAGAAAGAAACACATCAGAGTGTTCACAGTGGTTGGTTCTTTATGAGTGGTAGAACTGGTAACAGGTGACTTGCTTTCTTCTTTATACTTTCCTCTTTTTTTTACAACTAACATGTTACTTTTTATCAACAGAAAACCCATAAATGTTACTTTTTAAATAAAGCAAACAAGCAAGCAGGCAAAACTGAGAAGAGGATTTTGGATAAAGAACAGGAAAGCAGAATTCAAATAGAACAGGTAAACCAGATGCAGAAAAGAAGGGAAAATCAGGAAATGAAATTCTGGGCAAAATCTTAGTGTAGTATGGACTATAAAGAATGGCTGTGTGGGAAATACAAAGTAAGCTATGTTGGAATACCAAAAACCACACCAAACTCACTGCTGTCGAGTCATTTCAACTCACGGCAACCCCCTCCTTGGGTTTCCAAGGTGGTTAATCTCTATGGAAGTAGAATGCCCAATCTTCCTTCCAAGGAGTGGCTGGTGAGTTTGAATTGCCAGCCCTCTGGTTGGTATAGGTGACTGAAAACACATGATTAACTACCACTATTTAGAATTTGGAAGTAAGGTTTGATTACTGTCATGTTTGTATATAAGCAGAATTGTACTCTAACTGGTTAAACTTATGCAAACACTCTAATAACATTTGGGCTTGAGAACAGTAATGAGTAAGTGTCATCACTCATAAGCATCTTCCTCTAATTAAGAGGTCACGGGTTGGCCTTACTGTATCAAATTGTGTAAAAAGAATGATGAAGGAGTGAACTGGAATAATGAAGCAGCACCTTCTACTCAACTCGCCTTCACAGGAGATCCTTTAATTACACCAAACAATAGCAACTGACCACGAGGGAGAATAGCTGCCAAGTGTTCCTCAGCTATTTCAGGTTAAGGTATGAGGGGTAGGGAAGAAAGGAAGATGACTTTTGGGTCCAAAGTTCTGACTTACCAAACAACTAGGCTTAGGCTTCCTAGACTAGAGCTAGACTCTCCTGAAGAATGATGGCTAATACCCAGGCTTTAACTTACCCGAAAGGGCCCTGTGAAAGCTGTGCGCCTATTAGCAAATAGGGCCCTCCTGGGCAACATCACTCACCCAAGCCCCCTTGACCCAATCTGCCCACACACTCCAAGAGCCTTTCCTTGTTCTGGGCCTGGAAGAAGTATCTGAGGGTTCTTTGTAACTCGCCCCTCAGTAACCTAGGTTTTGGGGTGAAAGAGAAAGTAAAAGAGAGATAGATAGGGAGATATCACATAGGTTGCGTTATCAGTTCAGACTTGGGTAGAATGGGAAAAAAAGTCCTGTGGATATTGGCAAAATTTAGCATTAAACATTTGGCTAAATTTGAAAGGGCCTCTGGAAACTTTATAGACAAATTTCATACAGTGAAGGGAGAAAAAGTTTTACTGAATGTCTACTATGTGACAGGCACATGAATCTATTTATGTTTATAACAACCTTAAAAATTAGATTTTAGAGAAAAAGGAACTGAATTAGAAAGGTTAATTTAACTTCCCAAGATCACAAAGCTAACAGTAGCAGAGCTAACACTAAAGCCCAGACCTGTTTTATGCCAAAGCTCATGCCCTTTTCACTCTATCATAGTGCCTCTAATACAGAAACCAAATACCAATTATATTCTGCTTATTTTTGTTCTTCAAATATGCTAGCCTTCTAAGAGAATACATAAAGTATAAACCAGCAGTTCAGTCAGGCAAGAAAGGCTAAAAATATCTTATTCATTCTGTTCCCTACTCCTTTGACATGCAAATTTAAGAACATTATAATTACCTGTCTTCATTCATCATGTGAAGGATGAATGTGAAGGAGTCAATCCAGGAAATGGATGATATCTAGGCTACACTGAGATACCTCTGAGGCAATGAGTAATTTGGGATCTATAATGCACAGGAACAATGTGGCTCATGTCTATAGAGAAGTCTACACTTTTAGGAATGTCCTACAACTCAAATTCATAAACAAGAGAGCTACAGAGATTCAAAGGATTCCTCTGGCCATAGCCATCAGGAATTTGGTATCCTCAAATCCTGCTTCAACAACTAAAGCCCCCACCCTACTCATTCACCCACAGCTGCTGCTTCTGTATTCAACAAGGCCACCAAGACCCTCACTCACCTTAGCCTTTGAGAAGACAAGAAAGCACACGAAAGGCATATGAAGAGGAAGGACAGAGAAGAATGGTATCTCAGTAAACAGATCTGTTAACATGCTCCCAACTTCCCAAACCAACAAGAAAACTGTAAGAGGAACTTCCTAGTCCTCAGACTCACCTGAGGTGTGTAGGGCCCTGGGGTCATTGGGTCTAGGCTTTCTAATTCTGCTTCCTCCAAAGCTGCTTCTTTAGCTGTACAAATATCCTTCTCAAGTTGCGTCAAATGCTCATCATACTGAGAAATAAGAAAATCAATGAATTAATTCATTATGAATACATAGTACATACCTAATTAATTCGGAAGAAAGGTTGGGCAATCCTACTTCCGTAGTGATACTGCCTCAGAAACCCAAGGAGGGGTCGCTATGAGTCGGGGCCAACTCGATGGCAAACAACACCACCACCTAATTAATGATTCAAAATTATTAATAAAATATTCAACATGTGTTTTAGACACTGGGGATAGCAGGGGAAGAAGAAAAGAGCAACCTTATCTTCATGGGGCTTATTATTCTAGTGACAGGATAAAGATAAAAAAACATAAGTAAGTACATAAACCAAAAACCAAACTCACTGCCGTCAAGTTGGTTCCGACTCAAACCCCGCCTTGGGTTTCTGAGGCAGTATCTCTACAGAAGTAGATTGCCCAGTCTTCCTTCTGAGGAGTAGCTGGTGGTTTTGAACCACCAGCCTTCGGGTTAGCAGTCAAATTCCTTAGGCACATAGTATGTTAGAAAAAAAAAATTAGGAAAAGAAAGGGAGGAAGGAAATAGGGGATGCAGGGTGAAGGGTGGAATGTTGCATTTTTAAAACAGGATCGTCAGGGAAGGCCTCCTCACCCAAGGGAACAAAACGATTTCAGAAACTAGATTCCCAAGGGGAACTTCCTTTTACCACCTACCTCAGTCAATGTTTGGTAACAAATGTTCACAATCTCCTGAGCAGTCTTAGTATACTGACTCTCAGGTCCTATAAATGAGAAAAGAAAATGCCATTTTACCTTTGCAATCTTCAGTTCCAGAATTTTACAATCTGTCACTAACAGTAGGGTCCAATTATCCCAGACCCAGAAAATCTTATAAAGCTTTTAACTTGGACTCTTGTGCTACTTTTAGTGGTAGAAAAGGCCAAATACATACAATAGAATTATATAATGATCCCCAAGTCCTCATTAGCCAGTTTCAATAATTATCAACATATGGCCAATCTTGTTTTATTTATACCTCTTTATCTAGTTTTCAAATTCTCCCCAAATTATATTGAGGCAAATTCCAGCATCATATCATTTTGTCCATAAAATGTTCAGTATGTATCTCTAAGGATTCGTTTAGAAAATACCTGTATCAAATAAAAAATAATTAATTCCTTAATATCATCAAATATCAAGTCAATATTGAAATGTCCCCCCACTGTTTCACAAATTTTTTTTAACATTTGGTCTCCAAACCAGAATTCAACCAAGGTCCACATACTGGCTGACTTGTCTCTTTAAGATACTTTTATCTATAAGGTGATACTACATTAAACTGTAAATTTCTCCATATATCCTTAGTTATAAGTTGCAAACTGGTGGCCTACAGGTCAATCCAGTTCTGTTCGGTTCAAGTAAAAGAAAAAAAAATCCATTTGTGAAAATGGATTGTGCTATACACCCATGATACACATATACATACACACATACACTTTTCTGTATGTAAATTATACCTCAATAAAAAGTTTTTAGATAAGGCGTGTGCTACCCAGGTTGCCATAGCTCATTTATGCCTAGACCCTGAAGACATCCGAGTTTTCAATCTTTGCCTTAAATGCTTCCTAATAGTCTTTAATATACTTGTTCGTTCATAAAACGTTTTTAGTGGCTTCTACACACCAGGCACTATACACAGAAAAGAGTAAGACCATATACTCAAAGATGCTTTTAGTCTACTATAGTGATATACAGGGTAAACAGATAAAGGGAATGAAATGCAATAAAAAATACATACAGGGTTCAGTAAAGGCACAAAGGAGGAAATGACCAGTCCTGGGAGGAGATGAGACATTAGGAAAGGCTTTACAGAGGAAATGAACCTACTGTTTATCAGGATATTTAAAACATTAAAAAATACCATATGTACACGTGAAGCTTCTATGCCATACCTTCAAGCTTTTATATGAACAAAGAAGTTTCTTTCAGATAAAACTTCTCTCAAGTATAGTAATCTATTCTTTATGAGATGTAAAATAAAATTGTGACTACATAAGCAGCCTGTGGCAAACACAAATAAACTAGGAAGAAAGCTATGTCAATTCAGAAGATACTCAGGACACATAAAGACAGCTAGTGCTGCCTCACAATAAAAAATAGTCTGATACAAAGACTGAAGTTCAAGTTTCTAGAGTTCTAGTTTCTTGAAGCCACCAGTAGGTTGGTCCTCAAAATACTGATGAAGACAGACTGCAAAAGTTAACACATAAGCATTCCTGTTGATGGTAATACATGATGCTAGAGAAAAGAGAAAGGTTGCATACAGGTTACGTGACCCAGTAAAACTTCACTGACCCAGTAAAACACCAGCTTCTTATAATACACTAGCCCTTCTACAGGAGTCTGCCTCACGGCTAAAAGCTCAGCCCGTGGATTAGGAACTCAAACCTTCTTCTACTTGTTTCAGAACCTAAATCAACCTCTGAATTCCTCATTCATAATATAAAGAAAAATTACATTTGCAAGGCTTTCTCTCTTACTTATCCCTAATCTGAATCAGGAATTCTTGAATAGGGTGGACATAGGAGATATGTAGGAACCCACAAAAACTGTAATCAAAATTCTGTATGTAACATACATTCTTCTGGATAAAGGATCCATAGTTTTTCATCAAATTCTCAAAGGGGTCCATAACCACCACCATAAAGCTAAAAATACTGCTCTATATACTGCAACAATTAGGAACTAGGCTGAGTTGTCACTGGGTAGCACAAACAGTTAAGCACAACTACTAGCCACCTACAGGCACTTCTCCCGATAGGCTTAGTAGTCTTATTCCATAAGAGTCCTAAAAACCCTATGGAGCAGTTCTACTGTGCATACATGAGGTCACCATGAGTCGGAATCAACTTGAAGACAACTCACAACAAAACAAAAGTAGGCTTTAAGTTGCAGAGAGCTTAGGAGGAGTCAGACATACAAAGAAAACAAAATAGGTTCTCTGTAGGAATAATAAAAGAAAGATTTAAGTATACACATCCCTCTGTATCCAGAGGGGACCCTCTGCAGCTACCAAAATCTGCAGATACTCAAGTCTCTTATATAAAATGAAGTAGTATTTGCCTACAACCTACATAAATCCTCCCGTATGCTTTACATCATCTCTAGATTACATGTTGTTGTTGTTGTTGTTTGCTGTCGAGTCAGCCCTGACTCATAGTGACCACTCCTTGGGTTTCCGAGGCAGTATCACTACGGAAGTAGGATTGCCCAACCTTCCTTCCGAGGAGTGGCTGGTGGGTTTGAACCG